GAAACATCAATGATGAGAGAGAATCATTGATCAACTACCTCCTGCATGGACCCCCGCTAGGGACCGATGACTGGGAATTGAACTGTGACCTCCTGGTTCACAGGTTGATGCTCACCCCTAAGCCACACCGGCTGCGCTATCCTGCACTTTAGAGGGCCATGTTCCACAAACGAAGGCCTGCTCCTCTGAGCCCTTTCCACCAGCTCTTGGTCCAAGGGCCCAAGCCTGTGTCCAGGGTCTGCATAGGCCCCTTCCCAGGGTCCAACAAGGGGCAACTGTGAGGCTGTGCTTGTAGTGGAAAGTGTGTCTGGGTTGTCTACTGCTTGTGGTGTGGGACGAGGCCTGGGACCTTGTGTTTTCTGGGGCTGCTCTTCTGGGTCCCCATGTGTCTGGGGCTCTGCCCTCAGAGGGTGCCGAGACGCTTGGAGCACCCATCCCCAGGGCCCACAGATAACTGGTTACTGCCTGAGGTGGCATGGAGTCCTAGGGTCCCAACTCTGTCCCTTCCCCCATCCCTGTTCTAGATCCCTCTGCCCAAGACCTGCCCATCTCCCCCCTGCAGTGGCCACTGCTCTCTACCACCTCCTGGTCCTCTAGCTGACCCTTCCACTCTTCTATAATTCATTCTCAACACATAGCAGCCTTACTCTTTGTTGAAACCCTCCCAGGGCTTCCCACCACACACTCCAGGGCCCACGAGGCCCTGCCTTCCTGGCCCTCACAAGCCTTCCTTTGCTGCTGTCGCAATGGCTGCCTCACTCAGGGCCTTGGCACATGCTGTTCTGCCTGACTGGGCTGCTCATTCTCAGATCTTTGCTCTTCTTCCTTCCTTGTTCATCTCCCCATCCCTTTCCCCCCAAACCAGCTCATGTCCCTCTACTCCCATTTCAGCAATCAGGGCCATCATCTCCTCATTTGCTCTGCTCCAGTCTCAGGAACTGTCCCATGCATCTGATCCATCGGCAAGCCCTGGCTTCTCTCTCGCAAACCACATCTCCAACTGGCCAGTTCTCTCTGTCGCCAATGCTCCAGGCAGGTTTTGAACAGTTGGGCCTCTTGTTTCTTTATGGATCAGCTCCCCAGCCCAGTTCATACCCCTTTGTGGCTCCCAAGGGCTTTCCAGACTCAGCCTCAAATCCTCAGCTTGTAGAGTACCTGGGAATCTTAATCATTCAGGTCAAAATAGAGGAGGGAAGGGGGGTGGTTGATAAGAAATGTTGATAGTGTGCCAGGCCCTGGAATGTGCATCACGCACACACATGATCTGTTGCTCTCCACAGATCTTCCCTGTCTGGGTCCCCACTGTATAGACCAGTGATGGCAAACCTTTTGAGCTCGGCATGTCAGCATTTTGAAAAACTCTAACTTAAATCTGGTGCCGTATCACATATAGAAATTGTTTGATATTTGCAACCATAGTAAAACAAAGACATTTTTGATATTTATTTTATCTATTTAAATGCCATTTCACAAAGAAAAATCAACCCCAAAAATGAGTTCGCGTGTCAGAGGTGTCATAGGTTTGCCATCACTGGTATAGACTGGAGGGCCAGGTGAAAACCAAGACTCAGAGAGAGCAGGTGAGTTGCCAAAGATCACAGCCATTCATAACAATCACAAGAATAACAGGACGTGTCTAAGACCCTGAGGGGGCAGCCTCAAGGCCAGGCTCACCTTGGGGTCTTTCTTCAGGCGCAGGCGGTGGCCCCAGTGCGGGGTCAGGGACTGCTGGACCACACCCCTGTGCCGCAGGTGGAAGTACTGTCCATCAGGGAAGATCTGGGAATGTGGGGGAGCAGCTGCATCGCTAGGACCCGTCTTCCCTGATGCCCTGCAGGATGTCCCCTTTGCATCCTCCCCCAACCAGATGCCCTGGTGCGAGCTTCATGTGCCCTCTGGGGGTCCTCGAATCTGAAGCAGGGGTTGGTTGGGAGTTCTTGATATCTAGGGGACCCGAGAGACACCTTCCCATCTGTCGGGGCCTAGTGTCTTGGGTTGTCCAGTCCCGCCCCCTCGAGTCCATCCGAGTCCCACCCACCAGCCCCAGGTTGACGAAACCGAATCTGCGTGCCAGGCGCTCGGCCTCCCGGGAACCCTCAGACACCCGCACGGCCCAGCTGCTGACATAGATGGGGGCCCGGGCCGAGACCAACCCCACAGACGCGGGGAAAACGAGGACCAAGCCCAGGGGCAAGGCCAGGCGCAGCCAGAGATCAGTCCGGGTGGGCCGCATGGCGGCGGGGGCGGGGGCGGGGCCGGGCCTCCAAAAGCCCCTCCCCCTGGCCAAACCGCCGCGTTGGCCCAAGCGCCCGCCCCGCCCCCGGCACCATAGCAACCCTTGAAAGGCTTCAACTCCCAGAGGTCCTTGCGTCTCCCCTTTGGAGGCGCGAAGTCCCGACAGAAATGGGAGGGTGGACACACGCAGACCCAAACCCTCTGGAACCTTAGTCTCCCTATTTGTACATTGACCCCATTCTTCTGACCCAGAGGAGTTCACTATTGTTATGATTGACCCCGCCCTTTTATTTAGCCGCACCCCTTCCTACACACCCCTCCCTAGAATCAGCCCCTCCTCTCCCGTCCAACCAGGATTGCTCTTTAGAGTGAGCGCCACTTCTCAATTTAGCTCCGCCCCATACCCGCCCCTCAGATTCCTTCCCGCAGTCTTTATAATATGCCCCGCCCCTCCTCTGTTCTTGCTAATGAATCTCTTACCCTTTCTCCAATCAACTCTGGTCTTTTCAGGCCCCTCCCACCAACTCTTTCTACTACAGCACGCTTCTCTCCTCCCCCAGCTCCACTGCTCAGCCAATAATCCCCGGCCAAGACCCCGCCCCTCCAATCAGCTACGTCCCGCTTCCCCTCGACCAATCGGCGCCCTCGGCCTCTGCGCCCCGCCCTCTTCCTTCAGGTCGCGCCTGCGGCGGCCACTGCCCGCCAGAGGGCAATGAGGCGGGGGAGACGGGGCAGGCCCCTCCTCCTTTGCCCGCCCTGCCCTCCCATTGGCCGGTGCATCGGGCGGGAGGCGGGGACCAAACAGGAGGCAAAGACCAGCCCGGGAGTAGAGCGGTGCGACTCTCTTCTGAAGAAGGCGGCGCGTGCCCGGCGGGACCGGTGCGTAGCTCCGAGATCGAGCTCCGGCTGCCAACCCCGGTCCCGCCGTTGCCATGGACGGCCTGCGCCAGCGCTTCGAGAGTCTTCTGGAACAGAGGAACTTGGCCACCGAGACACTAAGGGCGCTCGAAGCCAAGACCGGGGTCGACAAGCGGTACTTGGCAGCGGGTGAGCCGTCCGAGGGCGCTCCGGGCTGTCGCCCCATTTCACCGACCTGCATACTGAGGCTCTGGGGTACCTGGGCCTTGGCCTGCCCCCATCCGGCCTGCCCCAGCTGTAGGGTTCGGGCCTTATGGAGGGGAGCGCCCACTGTCCAGTGGGGAGGCTGAGATCCTGGCTGGGGAGGGGTCCTCGGGTGAACCCGCAGCCCCTCCCGTGCCCTCGCCGTGCCACCTTGGGCCAGGGCCACCCCTTTTCTGGGCCCCTGCAGCACCCCCACACTGGTCCGCGTGTCTGGAGGCTGTCCTTTGCCCCCTCCCTTGGGGCTCTGGGTGCCCGCCAGGCCAAAGTCCGGTTCTTCCAGTTGCCCTGCAGGCCCCAGGGGTAGGAGAGGGGAGGAGGGGGCAGATAGGCGTCAGTGCCCTGAGTGTCTCTTCACCTCCTTCCCAGATGACCCCCAGCCTGAAAGCAAGTGTAGAGATCTTGTTCTTTCAGAGGGATACTCCCTGCCAAGAGGAAGGGTCATCCCCACCTACTCTCCCATTGTTTCCCCTCTTGGCGTGCCCTCTCCTCTCACTGGCCTACTGTGCATGAATAGTTGAGTTGGAGTTGGATTGTTTGACACTTGTGGTGGGGCTGCAGACAGATTGGATAGGAAACCAGGGAGAAGGGGCTCCAGCCACCCCTGACTGTAACTACTATTCTAGTCCTTCCACTTTCTTTCCTCCTCAATAACCTGGGATGAGCCCTGCCACTCTCAGAGACTGCCTCGTTAGTAAATGGTTAAATGCCTTCCTTCCCTCTTTTGCAGTGTTCAGGTGCACCCACTCTGCCACTTCTTCTAGGAGGACCCCCTGGAATGAATCACAAGGATGCTGGTGGGGGCGGGGGCATGTTCTGGGTGCAGACAGTGCCAGGTGTTTTGAGCACCTTCTATGTGCAGATGCTGGGAGTCCACTTAACTCCCATGTCCCCACCAGCCGGAGATCCCCATGCCAGGCAGCCAGTGAGGGTCTGAAATTTGTCCCCCAGGTTCCCAGTGCCCAACTATGTCTGCTTAGCCAGGGACCCGCCCATGCGAGCAAGCCTGGCTTTCCACATCTCGGTACCAGTGGTTGGGCAATTTAGGTCATAGAGAACTAGGGAGGGACCCACTGGGAAGAGGCCACTAGGGAGGCTGATAGTTAAAGGAAACTAAGGCCCCAAAAGGCAAGGGCTATGTGGGAGGATGCCCCTGCCACCTGCCCTGTGTGGAGTATTCACCTCTTCTCACCCCCTGGGCCCCATCTGTTGTTGATCTCAGGCCATGCCCCCCCCCCCCCGCCCCAACCCATGGACAAGATCATCCTCCTATTGCTGAGGCTGCAGGAATAGGGATTGAGGGGAGGGGTGCCCTGGGAGAGCCACTGACTAGTGGTTCCTGAGGAAGAGGTGACGTTCCCCCACCCCCTTGCCCAGATGTGGGAACCCTTGGGCTCCACATGTCGCAGATGGCCCAATACCCTACCCCAGGCAACAGGAGGAAACCCAGTGGAGCCAACTGGGGAGGACTTCCTCCACTTCTGACACCAGGCTCTGGGATCAGAACGAATGCAGGTGGAGGGAAGTGTATGGGTGACTCTGCCCTTTGGTCCAGAAGGTAGCCTCTGTGAAGGACATGGGAAGCTGTAAAGGCTCTTCAGTGACCCTGGGCAAGCCCCTTTCCCTGACAGCTTTTGTTTAGGTCTTGTCATTGCATGAGACAGAACAGAGAAGCACACAAGTAGCACTTAGATGTGGCAGTTACAATCATTGTTTTCAGAGTGGCTGATGCTCCTAGCTTCCCATATTCCCACACTGTTCTCCTCTGAGCCTCTTTGCTGGGAGTGCTTTTGTGACCAAAGTCCCTCAGTAATGTAGGGAAAGGATGAGTCCTCTCTGTTGAGTGTATTTAGCTAATCCACAACAACCCTAGGAGCCAGGGTCACTGTAACCCCATTGACAGATGGTGAAACTGAGTCTTCAAGCAGAGAGAGAGACTTTCTCAGTGTCACATGGTACGTGAGTAGAAGAACAGAGGGCTCTCCAAGATCTGAGAGGCTCTGTACTGCCCTTTGCTGCCTAAGACAAGGGGGTCTCAAATGGGGCCATACTGCCCCTGTTAGGACACTAGGCAGTGTCTGGGGACATCTGTGGTGTCATGGCGCATGCTCCTGGCATTGAGTGGGTGGATCCAGCCCCCCAAAGAGGATGACCTGGCCCAGATGTCAGCCCAGGCTAAGAAACCCCACACTAAGATGACATTTTGAAAATATATTTTTATTGATTTTAAAGAGAGCAGGAGAGGGAGATATAGAATCATCGATCGGCTACCTCCTGCATGCCCCCCACCAGGGACCGAGCCTGCAACCCAGGCCTCCAACTGGCAACCTCTTGGTGCATGGGTCGATGCTCAACCACTGAGCCACACTGACCAGGCATAAGATGAAATTTTAAATTGCCTCTGCCTTTGTCCGCTCACCAGTAATCATGTCTTAATGATAGAATGGCCTCAGTTTTAGTTTTTTCTCCTATTACTTAGGGCTCATGTATCCAACCCCTCTTATAGGGCCCAAGGTGAGGTGGTTATAATTGCAGATGATTCCTTATTCAGCAAGTGTTTATTGGGCAGCTACTCTGTATCCACCAGGGCAGAGGACCCTGCCTGCCTTTGGAGAGCTCACGGTACAATAGGGGAGATGGATATGTTAACTAATTACAGACACAAGACTCAGTGTTCAGAGCCATGGTGGGGGTTGTCCAGGTGCTGTGTGGAGACGAGCACACCCTGGAGAGGTCACTAAGGCTTGTGGGAGGAATGACAACTCTGTGGGGTGCATCTGCCAGGCCAAGAGGAGGCTGGGAGCCTGCGGACTGGGCGTGGAGTGAGCCAGACCCCCACCCATGCCCTCTTTTCTGCAGGAGCCACCACTCTGCTAAGCCTGTATCTTCTGTTCGGTTACGGGGCACCTCTACTTTGCAATCTCATCGGGTTTGTCTACCCCGCATATGCTTCGTGAGTGCCCATGGGCTGTCCAGGTGGGGAGCATGAGGGACTCCAGGCAGCCCCTGATCCTGTCACACACACCCTCCTCCCCCTCCCCCCCAGGATAAAAGCTATCGAGAGTCCAAGCAAAGAAGACGACACTGTGTGGCTCACCTACTGGGTGGTATACAGCCTATTCGGGCTTGCCGAGTTCTTCAGCGATCTACTCCTGTCCTGGTTCCCTTTCTACTACGTGGGAAAGGTACGCACCACTGGAACACACACAGGATAGGATCTCCTGGGAGCAGGCAGGCAACCAGAGACTGGGGGTTTGAGGGGCCCGCCCTGCTGCCTCCTCGGGTGTGGGGGGAGACTCAGTCCCTTCCCTGTGGAAACAGGCCCAGCCAGGAGAGTATCTGATGGGGGCAGCCCAAGTCCATCCAAGAGGGTGTCTGATGGGGGTGGCCAGACGAATCCTAAGGGGTGTCTGTGTGGGCCTAGGTCCACATAGCCCAGTGTCTGACGGAAGAGGTCCAACCCCTCCTCCCGGGGCACAGATCCGGGCCGAGTGTAACTGCCATCCATGCCCGCAGTGCGCCTTCCTGTTGTTCTGCATGATTCCCGGGCCGTGGAATGGGGCTCACATGCTGTACCGTCGAATCATACGCCCGCTGTTTCTAAAGCATCACGAGGCCGTGGACAACATCATGAGAGACCTCAGCGGGCGAGCACTGGACGTAGCAGCAGGAGTAACCCGGGACGGTGTGTGCTTGTAGGGCACGGGGGAGTTAGTTTGTCCCAGTTTGGGTCTGTCTGTCTCCCAGCCTATCCACCCCTGCTTACCTTCACTCCTGGCTCCCCTACTCCTGACTCTGACTGGTCTCCATCTGGCATCTTGGCCATTGGCATCAGGCGCTCTGGCTTCTCCTCTCACTGTCCGCCTTTCTCTCCTCTGCTTTCGGAAACCAGTCCTTCAGACCCTGGCCCGAAGCCGGGCTCTCGTCACCCCAACGGCTATGGTGGTGGGCCCCCCGCTGCTACTGGAGCCAACCATAGGTAACCCCCACCCCTAGGAAGTAAGTTTTATATGTGTATGCATGCGTATGTGCACGTGTGAGTGCAAGCATGCATGTGTGTGTGTGTGTGTGTGTATGACTGTGGGTGTATGACTGTGGGCTGGTTTGTGCATTGTGTGAGTTCATTTATGTGTGTGATTGTGTACAAGTGTACCTACATATGTGTGAATATGTGCAGATGACTATCCTTGCCAAGGATGGCCATTGACCCTACCCTGGTCCCCAGCAGCCTCCTTCCCACTCTCTAGCAGCAGAGCATAGCCCCAGGACCTGAGAGCTCGGCCAGACCTACCTTACCCCCATGGCCCTCTCTCTGCAGCCAAAGTAACCGTGACTCAGCTCCAGAAGGACAAGTGAAGTCCCTACCCAGTCCCCGTGCAGATAAGCTGGCCGGCCAGCTAAAAGACACCGTGTCCTCCACGGATTCCTCAACTGATTCCTCAGAACAGACCCGCTCTGTTCCCTCAGCCTCAATCAAGCCAGGCTCTGGGAACGCCTCATGCACCAACTTTGTCCCGTCCCATTCTCAATCCTTGGTCACAGGCTCTGCCAGTGGCTCCAAGCTGCCTGGCAAATCCCAGGTCCAGTCTTCCTCAAAAGCATCTATTGCGAGAGCCAATTCTTCCAACCAGCCCCCCCAACCATCTGTCACTTCCTTGGGCCCCTCCCAGCCAGCCCAGCAGTCCCCCGGCTCTGGTTCAGGCCCTGTGCATCATCCCAGCACCTTCTCCAGCCAGCCCCCCCCTACTGTGACATCCCCCAGTGGTACCACCATCCCCATGCAGCCCCAAAGCAGTCCCAATAGACCAGGGGAGTCGGCCCTCAAAGGCTCTAAGTCCAACAAACATCAGAAGACGTCCCCAACACTGATATCTCCCAATGGTACCACCATCCCCAGTCAGCCCCACAGCAGTCCCAATAGACCAGGGGAGTCGGCCCCCAAGGCCTCTAAGTCCAGCAAACATCACAAGACGTCCCCAACACTGCCATCTCCCAATGGTACCACCATCCCCACGCAGCCCCACAACAACCCTAATAGACCAGGGGAGTCAGCCCCCAAGGCCTCTAAGTCCAGCAAACATCACAAGACATCCCCAGTGCAGCCATCTCCCAGTGGTACCACCATCCCCACGCAGCCCCACGACAGCCCTAATAGACCAACGGAGTCAGCCCCCAAGGCCTCTAAGTCCAGCAAACATCAGAAGACGTCCCCAGCGCAGCCCCCAACCAGTACCTCAGTGCACGAGCAGCAGCCCCAAACCAATACCTCAGAGCCCGAGCTGCCTGTCTCCTACCTTTCTGGGTTCCCTCTGGAGTACACCTCAGAGTCCACCACTGAAATCACCTGCCACTGGCCCCACCACCACTCCTGGCTCCAATACCTACAGCACTGCTGGCGCCTGAAACACCTATCCTGCTAGGAGAGGGCTCAATAAAATACATCTTGCAGAGCCTTCTTTTGCCATCTGTCCTGGGTGTGTGTATAGGGGGGGGGGGGACCAGGTGTTCTTTGCAGGGATCCTCCCATCTAATCAGGAGAGGCTGCTGTGTAGCCCCACTTTAAAGATAAGAAACTGAGGCCCAGAATTATGGTCTTGCCAAGTGGCTGAGATGAATCAGAGATGAGAATTGGAGTACAAGTCCCTTTTCTGGAAGGGGACCTCAGGAAGCTTCAGTAGGGAGTGGGTAGGGGAAGGAGCCAAAGAAGTAGGTGTGGCTAAGCCTGGAACCTGTGTCCAGTGCACACCTGAGACCCTCTGTTCAGGTGCTGAGGGATCCAGGGACTATCCACTGGGGGAGCAGTGGCCATTCGTTTCAGCCAGCATCCCTCTGCAGGCAGCAGAGAGGCCTTGGGGCTGGCAGTTGACAGACTGGCATTCATGGAAATGGAGAGAGGGGAGTTGGGTGAACACTAATGGGGCCTCCTTCAGCCTTCACTTGGGTTTCCTTTGTGAGGCTGGCATGACCCCGTTCATGAAATCAGGAATGGATGCAGATGCAAAAAGCCCAAAGAAAGAACAGCAAATCCAATCCAACAGTATATAAAATATAGAATGCCCCCCTGTACAGCTATAGATCCCTGGAGGCAGATCCTGAACTGGAAGCTGGGGGACGGGGTGGGGGTGGGAGTGGAGCTGGACCAGGCGGCTGTCTCAGTGGAAGCAGGGGTGCCTGAAGCCTGAACTGCACCTGCAGCGAGCTCCACCTGGAGCCTGGGGGCCTGGTTTGTCCCCTGAGGAAGGGGCTGTAACACAAAGGCATCTGCTTTCACAGCTGGGGAGGACCTGGGCCCCACAGAATCCATCAGGCCACTCAGCTCCTGCCACCCAAGCTCTGCTGCCCCATGGTCCTAGGGGGCCACAGCTTCTGGTGCAAACACAAGAGAAGGGCTAGCAGGATGAACCGCAAACCCTGACACTGCAGGTACTTCTGAGGCTGTAACTCAGTGGTTCTCAACTGGGGGCAGTTTTTTCTCAAAGGTGCTGGGCAATGTCTGGAGACACCCAGTTTCTTTTCTTTTTTTGGCAGTTAGTCTCTATTCTTTCAATTAAGAAAAAAAGTAGTATTTAGTATGTGGCAGAGGAGGGCACCACACTAAATGCCGGGTATTCACTAGTGAGTAAAAGGAAATCTTTGCCATTTAAATTGAGGACAGGCAAGGAGACAGAAAATGGAAAGAGGGTACCCAAGAAATATGGAGAGAAAAGGAAGCAGTGACAAAAAAGGAGAGAAGCCTGAGGTGGTGAGTGAGCTGACACCTGAAAAATGAGGAAGGACAGGCCTGAAAGGCAAAGGCAGGGACAATCAGGCTGTGGAGCCTGACCGTGGGGCACCTGGCTCAGCTGAGGACTAAAGGAGGGCCCCGGAGATCCTTCCAGAACAGAGGTGCCTAGGGGGTCTGCGCCTTCACACTCTCCCTCACTGCTTTCACGTTTTGACTCAAATGCCTTCTTCGCAGGGAGGTCTTCCCTGGCCCCTCGATATAAAATCTACATGACCCGCCATGTCTCCATCTCAACATGACGTGTTTTACCGATTTCTCTTGCCTCTCGCCTGCCTGCACTGTGAGACTGTGAGCGCCACAGCGGCTGAGATTTCTGTCTGTCCCGTGCTGTGTTCCGCCTGGAACATAGTAGCAGGTCAATAAACATTTGCTAAACTAATTAATAGCTCTAGGAAGGCTTAACAGAAAAGGCAGCCATGGTCGAGTTCCCCTCGGACCCGCCCAACAGGCCCACCACCCTCCGACCGGGGATGAAAGCGACTCCCAGGCCTACGCTCGGCCGACTCTGCTCAGCTTCAGTCCAGCCTTACGCAGGGCCTCAGGGCCTCACGAGTCTCAGGGCCCCTGGCCAACCATCTCCCACAGATCCCACCACCTCCCGCCCCACCCCGCAACCTCCTGCCGCATTGGCCGGTGTCTGCTCTGCTCTGGGGTGGGTGCGCGCGGCGTCGGAAGGCGAAGACCCTACCGTCCCTGACCGAGACACCCAGTTTTTGCCCAAACACATCAGCCAAGTCTTGCAATCCTGTGACATGCCATGCCCCTCGCTCCCTAGCCAGCGTTGCAGTTCCCAGCTGGTGGTGACTCAAGACAGCTTTCCCCAAAAAGGAGGCAGCCCTCTGCAGCCACCAACACCACTGCCCGTGTCCTCATCCTTGAGAATTCTAACAAAGGAGGAGGAAGTGCTGAGTGTTACGCGGATATCGAGCGCTTGTTGTATTCCCACCCCTCCTCTAGGAGCCAGGGTTACAGTATTGACCCAGAGAGTTAAAAATTTCCCACTCCTGGTAGTTTGGGAAGGCAACAATTGGCATGATACATGCATAACATGTCAGAGGGAGCCCTGTGGCTCAGTTGGTTGGAGCATCATCCTGTGCATCTAAGGGTCGTGCGTTCAACTCCTGATCAGGGCACATACCCAGATTTCGGGTTCGATCCCCAGTTCAGGGCGCATATGGGAGACAACTGATCCATGTTTCTCTCTCACAATGATGATGTTTCTCTCTCTCTCCCTCACCCTTAAATCAATAAAATTAAAAAATATATATTTAATTTAAAAAACACATGTCAGAGCGAGGTGAATGACATGGGGAAAATGCAGCCGAAGTTGAGGGGGCCAGGGCTGCAATGTCAGGGTCAGAGAAAGGCCTGTCTATGAAAATGACATTCAAGTAAAGACATGAAGAAGGTGAGGGCATGAATCTGGTGAGAATCGGACAGGGGTGGTCCAGGCAGAGCCTGGCAGAGTGTAGGAGGAACAGGGAGACCTGTGTGGCTAGAGCTGAGTGAATGAGGGGAGAGAGGAGGTGAGCCAGGGGGTGGACCGTGCAGATATCTGGAAGGTGTGGTAAGGACTTTGGCTTTTCCTGGGGATGTAAGATTTGTCAAGAGGGAGGAAGGGACTGATCAAAGGTCTGCTAAGAGGCCTACGTGGGTGTTGGGGACAGGGATCTCAGAATCTGCTTATCACTGGCCCAGCTGTTTGAAGAATGTGCTGTGGCTGTGGTCTGGGGGTGGGGCAGTGCTGGGCTCACTCTGCACCTTGCATCCCCCCTACCCTGCTGTCCCTAGGTTGGTGATGCCGAACCTATGACAAGCGTGTCAGAGGTGACACGTGAACACATTTTTTTGGTTGATTTTTCTTTGTTAAATGGCATTTAAATATATAAAATAAACATAAAAAATATAAATCTTTGTTTTACTATGGTTGCAAACATCAAAAAATTTCTATATGTGACTCGGCACCAGAGTTAAGTTAGGGTTTTTCAAAATGCTGACACGCCGAGCTCAAAAGGTTCACCATCACTGCCCTAGGTGGTGAAACAGGTGCTCAGAGGCTGTCCCTGTCCCCCTGCCCTGGTCAGCTCACCAGGCAGTACAGATAGGGAGGATACACACCTGTCTTCCCAGGTGGAAACAGTGGCCTTTAGCCCCTCAGACTTGTTTTATTTTATATATTTTTTTAAAATATATTTTTATTGATTTCAGAGAAGAAGGGAGAGAGAGAGAGATAGAGAGAGAAGAGAGAACCATGGATTGGCTGCCTCCTGCTCGCCTCCTATTGGGGATCGAACCTGTAACCCAGGCATGTGCCCTGACTGGGAATCCAACCTGTAACCTCCTGGTTGGTAGGTCAGTGCTCAACCACTGAGCCATGCCAGCTGAGCACATCGTTTGTTTTATTCTTAAACCTACAGAAAAGTGTAACCAGTGACTCAGAGCTACTAAGGCAACAGGGCCAGCCCCTCCCAGTCACTCCCCACCCGCAACGGTATCTCTGTCCTTTCCTATCTGACTCAGAGCTGTGTCTGTGAGACTCACACCACTGTGGGAATTATCAGTACTTTGCTCTTTTTCATTGGTGGAGAGCATTTCATCTGTGGGTAGGCCAGAATTATCTGCCCCATTCCACTGTCGATGGGCATTTGAGTAGTTTCCCATTTTGGGTTATTATGACTAAAGCTGCTAGGAACATTCTAGAACTGACCTGTGGTGAGTGCAGCTCTCCTTTCTCAGAGATTGGAGAGTACAGGGTGAGCCTGTGAGTCTTCTGGGGTGACCATAACAGATTACCACACACTGGGCGAGGGGGGCCTTGAAACAACAAAGATTTAGTCTCTCACATTATGGAGGCCAGAAGTCAGTGTGACAGGGCCATGCTCCCTCCTGCGATTCCAGGGAGGGTCCTTCCTGCCTGTTCCAGCTTCTGGGCTTGTGGCCTCATCGCCCCAGTCTCTGCCTCCATTGTCACATGGCCCTCTTCTGTCTCTCCTTTGCATGTCTCTTATGAGGATACTTGTCATTGGATTTAGTGCCCACCCAGGTCATCCGGAATGATCTTATCTTGAGACCCTTAATTATATCTGCCAAGATCCTTTTTCCAAATAAGATCCCATTCACAGATTCTGGGTGTTGGGACTTGGACATATCTAACTTGCTACTGTGATTTTTGTTCATCTGTAGCAGACACGGCCAAACTGTTTTCCAAAGTGGTTCTGCCAACCCCACCTGTATGTCCACATCTGAACCTGTGCGCTCTCAGACAGTCCAGGGCTTTCTGTGGCTCTCTAAGTGGACATGTGTCCTCCCATGTGTCAGCCGTCTGGTACAGGGTCAGTGAGAGAAGGGCAGATGACAGAGTGGTGCCCTCTGCAGAGAATTAGAAAGGAAAAACATGACAGACCCCCCAGAGCTGGCGTTCAGAAATACTGAAAACAACCTTTTGTGGGGCTAATGAAATAATTACAATTACTGTCATTTTTACTAATATGGATGCAAGTTTCAAACATGCCTGTTTTAATTCATCTTTTAATAAACATCACCATCAGTGGGAAGTCAATTTGGAGAAGTCAATTTGGAGAATTCCCAGTTCTGGACAAGCAGTGCTTCCTTCAAGAGGAGGTTCCTACTCCGGGCAATGTGTGTGCCTCTAACCGGGATGGGCTAGCGTATCCCTGCAGGGACACAGTAACTAATGAAAAAGGGCCGAGGGCTGACTGTAAAGAGGAAAAAAATAGAACGCTTCACTTTGTTTCTGTCATTCTATGTAACCACCTGGAGTTATTAGTGTTTCAGTGCAAAACAGCGTCATACGTTGCTTGGCAAGTACAAATGGTAGTTCCTTCCTGAACCACCACGCTGTTGAATTTGAGCAACTTTAGAATTGCAAGGTTTTCTTCTCTCTTTAAATGGTTAGACTGCTTTAAAACGAAAGAGCAGATCGAAACAATGGCATGTTTACTGGGAGTGTTACAAGACCATTACAGGAGGAGCTGTGAAGGGCTGGGGAAGCCACAGGCCATCCCGCCTGCCGGAGGAGACTCTGTGCTGGCCCTTCCCAGGAGCAAGCGCCTCTCGTCAGCCAGTCCAGATGATTTGGGATTGGGAGCTCTGGGGCTGAGAAGGCCTGAGACCCTTATTCCCAGACATATCCCCATACTGCATGGAGGCAGAGGGGACAACCTCAGGCCAGTGGTGGGAAGAATGGAGCCGTAAGTGGGTGCTGGTGTAAGGCTGGTGGGTGAGGAGAGGCATTCCTGAGGAAGGCAAGTGCAGATGAGAGAAGTGGGTGTGGAGGAGGAGGTACAGAAGCAGGGCTGCAGGTAACCAGTGCCTTGACTACCTTTCCCCCATCCTGCCACCAGTGGGCGCCCAGGCCCCACACCTCCCTCCAGAACTGCATCCCACTTTGCCCACGAAAGTTGGGGCTCTGAGGTTTCTCCAGCTTCAGCACTCGTTGCAGATGACAGAGCCAGGCCTGGGGTGGTCTAAGCACTGCTGGGCCCCTGGCATACAGTAGGCACTCAATAAATACCCGTTGGAGGAATGCATGAGTGAACTGAGGGGCTAGGGAAGGAATCCAGAGGAGTGTGATTCCCATGATCAGAGCCAGGAAGGGCTGAAAGGGTACTGGAGAGGGGAGTGGTCTGCCCTCAGGTCATCTGCAAAGTCAGGGGCTGAGCCCATCCAGCTCTGAGACCCGCATATTGTGTGCCCCTTGCCCACTGCCAGTATCCATGCTACCAGGAAAAACACAACCATGATGGTACAGAAGAGCAGATTGTCCCCAAATGACAGTGTGGGGCACCCCATCCGGAACGGGGAGGCAGAAGACGGCGCCCCCACCCAGAGTGGGGGAGGGTTTGCTGAGCCACCCCCCACACACCCTCACTTCTCACATGACTGATGCCTGCCCTCTTGCTCCAGAAGAATAAATGAAGAGAATCTCTGACAACACAGGAGGATGAGGATAGCCTGAGGGGAGGGGCTCTGACTGCTTCCTTTGCTGGGGAGGCCTGAGATGAATGTGTGGCCCCCAAGCAGGCCTGGAGAAGAGGCTTGGGACCTATAAAAGCCATGTTTACCCCGTACTCACCCCCCATCCTCATATAGTCCCTGTCCTCCCCTCCCACAGAGTGTCAGACATTCTGAGGGGAGGTGGGGAATGGACCAGGTAGAGGGGATGGGGTTTGTGAGATCACATGTGTACATGCTGTGAAAACACAGTTGTGGATCCTGCTACCAGTGCATCCACACATTTCTGTGGCCAAGTGTGCCGTTGTTTTAAAAAATTGCTTGTAAAAACTAAGTAGAAATATAAAAGGGGTGAACAGCAGTGTGGACTGGAGGAACCCCTTCTAGAATTGCTGAGGTTGTCAAAATTATCTTTGAATAGTCATGGGGCTGTAAAGTAAACCATAGGGAATATAGTCAATAATATTATGATAACTATGTAGGATGCTAATTGGGTACTGGAAATATCAAAGGGAGCACTAGGTAAGTATACGATTGTCTCACCACTAAGCCGTACACCTGAAATCAATACAACATTGAAAGAGACAAGATGATCTCTGAGCCTTCTGGTAGTCAGCACAAAAGGGGAAATGAGTATGTCACAGTGCCTAGTTAGGCATGTGTTCTAGTGGGTATGTCTGTTTGTGACAATGTCTCTGAATACATTGTGGTGCATGGGTAAATGGCAGCCAGAAGAGAGAGCACAGAGTTTCAGGGAGTTACACAGTGAGGAGCTTCCTGGTAGCCAGGGCAAGAGGGGAAACGGATACAGTACAATGTCTCCTAGGCATGTCTTCCTAGGGCCCTGCTTGCGTGTGAGAGTGTCTCTAAACAGGTGAGTGTGAGGCAAGGGGAATAAAAGTAGACACAAAGTTTCTGAGTAAAAGAAAGCATATGAGTTTCCTGGCAGTCAGGGTGAGAGAAGAAATCAGAGTTAAAGAAGCAATTCAGTGTTTTCTCATCAGCGCCTGCCTCCTGTGAGAGTGGATCTGACTGACTGTGCGCAAAGGCGTATACGTGTGTCTGAGGGAGAGGTACACAGCTGTGGTGGGAGACAGTTCTGAGTTCCTTGGAAGCCAGGCAAGAGAGGAACTAGGTTGAGTTTGAGCCTGGTCAGGCACATCTTTCTTGTCTGGGGGCTCAGACAGGGCAGTGTCTGGCAGCCAGGCGGACTCGGCTGTCCTCGGCGGGGCTCCAGGGCCGGGCATAGCCAGCATGGGGCAGCAGCAGCCGGTCCTGAGTGCCATCGGGGTTGACCAGGCGCTGGGCAGCCAGCAGGTACTCTCGATGGAGGGCCATGGGTGGGCAGGGGCAGCGGCCAGGTGCCCACACATACTCGAGGGACTGCAGTGGCGAGCGGTTCTTGTAGACGAGCTGCACGCGCACCTCATAGCGGGTCTCCTGGGCCTGGCGGAGGTGGCCCAGCACTCGAGCCCGGAACACTGTGGGCAGGGCGGTGCTGAGGCCAATTGGATGGTCCAACCTGGACACCCATTCATGCACCCCGTTCATGCCATAGGAGGAAACGTGGGGTCAGGTGGGACATGGGGGGCCCCTAGGGACTGTGGAGAGGGTCCTGGGGTCCAGATCAGGTCAGCATCAATGAGGACTTAGAGGTCAAATTAGAGCAAAGGGCCAAATCAAGAAGTCAAATTAGGGCCAGAAGGGGTCAAGTTGGAGTCACATCAAGGACTCAAGAGTAAAGTCAAAACAGGGTCAGATGTCAGCAGGAAAGTAGCCAAGTTTAGGTCAATTAGGGGCCAGGTGAGGGTTGGGGAAACGGGTCTCTCACCAAAGTCACTGCCGCAATAATGGAGCAGCCGGTGGGCACGACCGCGGGTGTCCGGACAGGGTGGGCAGGGATCTGTGAGAGAGTGCAGTTAGGGCACACGCCCCACCTCCCTGCTCGCCCCCAGAGTGGCTATTCCCTGCTCACCTGGGGTGGGCTTTGGGGTCCGTGTGGGGAAAGCAGCCAGGGCTTCCTGGGGCTCAAGGGACTGGGGCTCCCCCTCCAGAGGCTGCGGCTGCCTCAGAGACCAGCCCAGGGCCTGGGCCTGCTCCTGGAAGGGGCCATAGCGCTCCCTAGGGAGCCAGAACTCGAACTCAATGCCGGGATTGGGCTCCTGCAGGAGGACCTAGGGAGAAGGTCACACACTAGGGAGCCGAAATCAGAACTGGTGGCCCAGCCTCCATCCTCTGGCCTTTCTCCTGATTCTCTACCCTAGCCTCCCACCTCTGATTCTCTATCTCACCCTGGCCCCTCTGACACTCTCTCTAATCCGATCTCACCCCTCTGACTCTCTGTTCCTAGCTTCCCCACTCTCACTCTCTATCCCGACTCCCCCTCTCTGTCCCCAGCCTCCCCTGGGTCCTTTAATCCCTGCCACCACCACGTGCCCAGCCGCCCCCTGGAGGCCCCGCACGCACCTGCAGGAGCAGGTCTTGGGACGTGGGTCCGGCCGCGCGCAGCGTCTCCTCCGGCCCCGCAGCGCGAGTGTAGACCACGCGGGTGCCCGCCGCCTCATACGTCCCGGACGGGCTCACCTCCCCGTTGCCGTTGAGCACGTAGCGCCCGTCGCCCCCAATCAGCGCTGCAAGGGAAGGGTCAGCCCAGGCTCCCGGGACCCCGCCCCTCCACCTCCCGACCCTGCGTCCCCCTCCTCCGGCCTCAGTCTCCCGGCTCCATCGAGGCGGCCAGGAGGGCGCCTCCCCCTCGGAACCTCTGCGGTACCCAGGTGGTTTCGGCTCCGATGGGCGGCGTAGATGTGCCTGGCGCCCTCGGGGATCAGAGTCACGTTCCAGTATCCTGCGAAGGCTCCTGGGCGGGAAGGAAGGAGGATGCTGCGGGGCGGGTGGTGGGTTTTTTGAGGGATGCTTTGAGGATTAAATGAGATACTGAGGCTAAGGAGATTGGCCTTGGTACTGGTACCCCAACAACGGTCCATAAACGTTTGGAGTTAAGATTAGTATCGCCTAGCCCCGGTTTGGCTCAGCGGATAGAGCGTCGGCCTGCGGACTCAAGGGTCCCAGGTTTGATTCCGGTCAAGGGCATGTACCTTGGTTGTGGGCACATCCCCAGTGGGGAGTGTGCAGGAGGCAGCTGATCGATGTGTCTCTCTCATCGATGTTTCTAACTCTCTATCCCTCTCCCTTCCTCTCTGTAAAAATCAATAAAAAATATATATATTTTTAAAAAAAGATTAGTATCGCCTAAATGAGGCAGCGAAGGGGTTAGAACCACATCTGTTCTGGGAAGGGCGGGACAATCTGGCAGTGACCAATCAGAATGATGAACGAGAGGGGGCTGCGCCGCAGGCTGCCCAATCAGCACGGGAATTCACTTCCGTGCCCGCGGCTTCGTAAAGGGTCGGCTCGGGGAGAGTGGAGAGGACGGGGCGAGAGGTCACCGGTGTCACGGAACACGCGCTGCACGAAGAGGCACGAGTCGTTGGTGCCGCCGCAGCGACCACAGTGGTCCTCGCGGGCGCCCGAGCCCATCAAACCGTCACAGCCGGCGTTCTAAGCGGATGGGGAGGACACGTGTCAGAGAGACCCCCTGCCCCAGCCCGGGCCTCGGCCTGGGAGAGGGGGGCGGGTCCTGAGAACGAGGAGGCGGGGCCTAGAGACGAGGGTGGGGCCTGAAATAAAAGGGATGGGACCTGGGAATAAAAGGATGGGCCCAGAAGGAGGGGGTCTGGGTGGGGCCTAAGGAGAGGTGCCGGGGGCGGGGCCTGTGGAAGAGGGCGGGGTCATGGAACAAAAGGAAGGGGGCTTGGCGGGACTTGAGAGTGAAAGGGCGGACTCTGGAGAGAAGCTAGGAGTGAAGTCTATGGAGGGGCGTGGCCCGGTGGGAGGGGAGGGGCTGGGGACCTAAAACTAAATGAATTCGGTCTGGGGTGGGGTGGGAGGTGGGCTGGGCTGGGCGGGTCCTGGCAGTCCTTACGAGGCAGCGGCCAGCCACGCAGAGTCCCTGGCTACCCCAGCTGCAGGGAGTACCATCCAGGACGCGGCCAAAGCTGTGGTAGAAGGCATGTCCCACGGCCAGGCAGTTGAGGTCGCACTGGTTGGGCGCTGGGGGTGGAAGGACAGAGTGGACCAGGGGTCTTCCATCCCAGTTACAGCCCCCTTCCCGCTAGCCTCCCAGAGAGAGCCACCCCCTTGGGCAGATGAGGCCCAGAGACTCAGCCCAAACTGCACATGCAGGTTGAAGCAGGGCCAGGACTGGGCTTCGGCGTTTTGCCTCCAGCTTTCTGACTCTCCCAGGCAGATATCCTGGGCCTGCATGCCTGCATTCATTCATTCCACAAACACTCAAATAACCATTTCCAGACGTGATTCTAGGCTCGGCGTTGAGCAGAGCTGCACCCAGCAGGTGCCCAATAAAAAGTGTTTGTCCAGTGCTGACTGGGTCCCACATAGCACGTGTCTTTAGCCCCCGCCCCAGGACTCAGTTCCCCCCTCTGCTTGGCAGCAGGGCGCAATGAGCAGTCCAATCACTCCAGCCCATAGCTCTGACTCCTGCTCCTCCCATCTCCCTCAGCTTGGCTGGCTGACCCAGCCTGGAACAGAGCCCCAGCTGGCCCTGGTGGGCTAATGCTTAGGGCAAAGGGAAAAAACACGATGAGGTTTACAAATGGAACTTTCTTTATTCTAGGCTTTTCTTACCTGTGTCTGCCCTCTCCATAGCATCTGAAGCTGCCTGTCTCCCTTAAACCTGGAGGCATGCTGCCCCCAGCACATAGTTATATAACTCACTATTTTCAGCTAAATACTGGCAACATTTCCTGCTACCAAGATAAGTTTGAGAACTGTTGGCCTCTGGATTCGGCCCTGAGTAAATCCTCAGTCTGGTGTTCAGCCCTGTGCGGAACAGACCTGGCCTCCCCCTGCCTCTGCTTTACATCTCACACATGCTTTTCCCCCTTCCCTTCACCAACTCCTACATATCCTTCAAAGCCCAAGTGCTAATGCCTACTTCTCTTTACAACCCTCCAAGTCCCCCTTCTTTCTTAGCAGCCCTTTCTCCCTGTCAGCTCTGAGTTGTTTCCTCTGGACCAACAGGAGGGCAGGCTACTCACCACCATAGAAGGGCACCCATTGGTAAGTCTTCTGGGGGCCCAGGACAGGGTGGCCATTGTAGAGGGCACACTGGAGGTCTCGGAAGGGCATGGCTCCTGGGGGACAGTCCTGGGGACAGAGGTGGGTGGCTCAGAGGCTGGGACAGACTCAGGGGAGTCCAGAAAATCTGGCAGGGTGGCAAACATATTTGGGGGCATGAGTGGGGAAGCAGCAGAGCTTCAGGGCAGACTCGAGGGGTCTTGGAGGTGGACAGAACTTACTGGCAACTGGCAGAGGCGGTACTCATGGGTGTCCCCCCAGCACCGCTCTTCCCTGGGGAACCTGTGAGGAGCAGCGTGGCCAGAGTGTGGTCAGGTTTCCCAGTAACCTCCTTCCCAGAGCCCGCCTGCTCACCCCTCACCCTCCCACACCAACCCTACCCACATTCCAGGTGCATTCGTAGGATTAAAAGGCACAGCATGTGTGGGCAGGCCAAGGGTGTGTTCAGGGGCTGGGCCTGGCTGGCAGGAGGGAAGGGTCAGGAACCCCCTCGCACCCGCGCATCCGAGCCCCGGCTTTGTGCTCACTGCTCACCGGATACAGCGCCGACTTCGCACAGAGAGCCCCTGCCCACAGGAGCTGGAACAGCGGCTCCAGGAACCCCATGGTGTCCACTCGCCTGGACCCTACTTGGAGAAAGAGAAGCATGGTCAGCATGGAGGGGAGGTTGGCAACCCCCACGTGGCTATGGGGTCTCCATGCCCAATGCCCCCTGGGCTCATGTCCCCCCCTTACCTGAGCACTGCCTCCCAAACCACAGTTCAGGAGGGTCCATAGCAGGAGCAGGAGGTTCCAGAGGGGGTGGGGTCTGGGGAAGCAGAGGGAGTCTTTGCAGTGGAGGTGTGAGCAGGCCAGGGGTTGAACCTCAGCTCTGCCCTGACTGTGATGTGGGGCAGTAACATAACTTCTCTGAGCCTCCCCTTCTTATAACTGAAAAATGTATTCATAATACAGCCCCCCCCCCCACAGGGAATTTTTGAGGAGTCCTTTGGATCAGGTAAGAAAAATGGGAGGCACTGAGTCGGGAATATAGATGAAGAGTTCAAATTATTATTATTATTACCATTATTGGTTGTTTATTGTCTTATGATGCACACAGTAGGTGCTTAGTCAGTGTCTAATGACAGAACAAATCATTCCAGGATAAGTGCACAAGTGTCTCCAGGGTCAGGGCGCCTCACTGCTCTCCCCACCATCATTGCTTCTACCTTCCTGTACGGCCAGGGGCCAGCGACTCCCCTTCCCCGGGTCTCAGTTTCCCCATCTATGCACTGGGGACCAACTGGGGTCAGTCCAGGACTCTGAGACCTTGCAGAGGGAGCAGCCCGTAGGGGCTGGGTCCCTTCAGGGCTCCATCCGATCCCAAACCCTCGGCAGCAGGTGTCCCCATATTGGGGAGGGGCAGAAAGGGGTAACCTGACCCTGGGCCAGCCAGCACCTCATGGCCGCAGGGATGGAGGGCCAGGGTGGTCTGGAAAGAGAAAAGGGCCCCTGATGAGGATGATGCAGAAAACAGGGAGACAGCTGGGGTGGGGGGACTGGGCTGGCAACTTTGCCTACCCAGGCCTCAGTTTTCCCCGTCTGTCAGGAGAAATATAAAGCCACTTGCCATCCACACCCTCCGCGTGACCATGACATTGGCAGAGAAAGGAAGACGGGAAATGGGCCATCCTGGTGAGCCCTTCCTTGAGCAGAGCCAGGGAGCCCAGCAGTCAGCAGTACCAAAGCACACGCAGGACAAACTGGAATCCTCTCACCCCCCCGAGTTCCTGGGCCCCTGGTGGGGGGGAAGG